TTCCTCCCTCCATACAAACCCTGTACATCTGTGCATAGACCCTAAGGGCAGGAAGGGCATATTTTCCTACTTAAAGTCTTGTTATGTTTACAAATAATTAGTACTTTTTTTCCCCTACGTGTGTGTATGCTAAGTTGCTTCAGTCATGTCGGACTGTTTGCAACCTTATGGACTGTAGTCTGCCAGGCTCCTCTGTCCACGGGATTCTCCAGGCAAGAATACTGGACTGAGTTGCCATTTCCTTCTCCAGGGGATTTTCCCGACCCAGAGGTTGAACCCAGGTCTCCAGCATTGCAGGCAGATTCTTTACCATGTGAGCTACCAGGGAAGCTCTTTTTTTTCCCCTGTAGATACTGTTTATTCTCCTAAAACTTCATAGATTTACAATTTGGAAGTTGTGTTGTTGTTGTTGTTTTGGTGATTATTACCACAACTTTCTCTAGGAGATGTTATTTTTTGCTTTCAGTTTCATCTAAATTAATGCAGTCTTATCTTCTTCCCAGTTAGACTAATACAGCTAAGTTTTACCTTCCCAATAAAATGGCACCTCCCTCTCTAATCTTAGAGAATTTTTAAACTCAAAATCATTATTACATTGCATGTTATAGCAAAAAATAAGAGGAAATGAATATATCATGAAGTTATTTTGTTTTTAAGAAGAAATAATCAAATCGTAGGCAGTAAGAGAAAAAAAACCCAAAGATTTTTACTTTAAAAAAAAAAAGCAACAAAAAACTTTAGAAAGCTGGGAACCTATTTTTAAATATCTTATTGAAAGACCAAAATCAACATGTGTTTTTAAAAAATACTATTAATGGTCTGACTAAATGTCAAATCGTATTAGGAAGTAGGTATTATTAAATAAAAATAATAAAAAGCTGGCCCAAGAGAGAAGAACAAAGAAAATGACAAAGCATATACAAAATGAGAATCTGGATGAGCCAAGGAGGGATCTGAAGACAAGCTAAAGGGATCCCCAAACAAAATTAGTCATCAGTTTTTTAAGAAGTTCATAGCTTGAACTCTGTCTCTAGAATTATTGGGACAACATTTGAATAAATGAATTATTTGTATTATTCATTCATCCAACACATTTACTGAATATCTCTTGTACACTAGGCACAGAGTATGTGAAGGTTAAAAAAAAAACCCAAATCTCTTATTTCTGTGAGCTTCTTGTTTGGTGGATGAACTCACGATTTAGTTTGGCTGAAGGTTTCTTACCCACCCTTAGTTATTTTGAAATAAATACACTAAATATGCAAAGAATGTTCTAGCTTTACACTGTCCAGTAGTCATATGGTCTGGTGGGAAAACGTAGACAGGTAAACAATTATAAGATAGCAAAATAGGTACTGTAGTTAGGCTGTGTTAGGAGTTGCAGTGATATCGCAGAGGAGGGACCTAACCCAACCTTCAGGGTAATGGACGTCTTCCATAGAAGATGTACAGAATGGTAGGTAGGATAAGTAAGAATTACCCTCTGAAGAAGAGTAAGGATGCTCCAGGAAGAAGGAGCAGAGGTACTGTGGAAAGAGGTGGGGCAAGGAAGGGCAGGTGGTTTGGAATGGAAGAAGTTTAAGGTGCCCCTACAGAAGTGGTAAGAGATCAGTTTAGAGACCTAGGTTATAAAGAACCTTACTTGTCCTACTTTATTGGGAAGGTGATGGGGAACCAGTGAAAGGTTTCAAACTATGAAGTGTCACAAATGATATTTACATCTGATATAAATCATACTGGTGAAAGTGGATGGAGAGATAGCACACAAAAAGCAGAGAGACCAAATAGGAGTGTATTTCTGTAATCCAAGCAAGAAATGATAGCTTGAATTAAGGTAGATACAGATTCAGACTCAAGATATTGTAGAAGGTTAAAAACAACAGGATTGACTGCATCAGAGTTTTAAAGAAGTAAAGAAAAAGATATGAAGCCTTTCATCCCTAAGAATTCATTTGTGGAAAAGAACTGAGAGCTATAAACTAGTGAATTTCACTTCCATATTGGTTACATAATTAGGAGAGATGGTAAGTAAGATGAGACTGAATACTTAATCAGATTCTGGATCAGTGAACTGAATATCAGGAAATCTGAATTAGCTGTGTGATCCTGGACAAATCAATTTAAGTTTTCCTGCCCTTTAAAGTTAAGAACATGATGCCTTTAAACTGAGCCTTCAGGGACTGTTAGAGATATTTCAAAGAGAGTGTCTTTTCTAGCTGCAAGACTTTGTGATCCATCATCTGCATGCCCTGTTTACTAAGATAAGTTATTATAATGATCAAAGATGATGGTATGTGAGAAAGTGCTTTGTAAGCTATAAAGTACTATATAAATTTATGGTACTATTATAATTTTAACACTAAACTCTTTGGTTTAATGCCAAGAATTGGGGCTTATTAAACTATAGTATTTCAGATAGGAATTGAGAGAGAAGAAAACTGACAGATTATTTTCCGTGTAGAAAAATTCTGGAAGATTAAGTAGATAATAATCGAAGTATAATTGGAATTGAGCTGATTTTTGTGTCTGATATATAAAGTAAGTCTCTTTGTGTTATAGGAAGTCTGTGTGTGGGTGTGTGTGTGTGTGTGTATGTATATATGGTGATGGTAGAAACTGAGCTAACATTTATAGTCTTGGTTAGAGACCACTAGGGATTAATTGTTACTTGGAAAGAGTAGCCTGAGACTTGCCAAAAAAGCCAACAATATGCTGGATGGTCTTAAGAAAAGAACTTTTTAGATTAAAAAAAAATCTTTACTTTTAAGGTATTAGAATTTTGCTTGTTATTTTCCAGCTAAGATCTCATGTTACTAAAGAGAGGTAACCCAGTTATCTGGGCCATGGTAGGCGGTGATGGGGTTGCACCAGTATGAAACTCTTCTTTTTCTTTTTTGGCTAGGCCCGGTCTTAGTTATGGTACATGGGAAATTTGAGCTTTGTTCCAGCATGCGATTTTTAGTTGCAGCATGCAAACTCTTAATTGTGGCATGTAGGATCTAGTTCCCTGACCAGGGATGGAACCCAGGTCCCCTGCATTGGGAGCTCAGAGTCTTAGCCAACTAGACCACCAGGGAAGTCCCAAAGTTTTCTACTTTCCATTGTATGAAAAGACAGTGATGTGAGTAAATTATACTAAACAGTGAAAAGTATGGTTAGATTTGCTGAATGAATCTTAGTTTTCCAGAAATAGGGGGCCTGAGAAAGGTGAATATAGTCACCTATCTAATGGGCATAGCTACTTAGTACCTGTCAGAGAACCAGGAAGTAGGAAGGAAAATGGTGTAACTCTGAGTAACTAAAAGGTGCATATACTCAAGGCACATATAAACTCATTCACATTACTTGTGGGAGAGGATCCTGTTCAGGCTATATTTTCTCTTCCTTTAGATACTATTCTAGTACAGTTAGCTGACTTACCTGCTCAAGAAGATTATAGATGACATAATAAGAGATGAGTGAGAGAGAAGGGAGTAAGAATTTATGTTAAGACTGTAAGAGAGAAGGCAGAAAATTATAAAATATGGACACAAGAACTTAACACAGCATTCTGAGCTATTAAATGTAATAGAAAACAACTGTTAATACCATAGCAGCCCTGGGAATTTATTGTGTAGAATAAAAATTGTTCTTAATGGTTATCAATGAGGAGAATTAAGAAAAGTTTAAATAGTATTTAATATTATTTTTTAAAAAGACATGGAAAGAATTATGATGCAGTTTAAAATTTTAGGAAAAAATGCTTATTATGAAGAAAAGTTTTGATGCTTAAAGTAAAAATGATCATTAACTTTACAACATGAACAATAAAAACTTAATTTGAATTCTTCATTCTCCAAAAATGCCAAATAAATTAAGCTGTTCTAGACTTTCAGATATTAATGGTTTTTAATTGTTGATGTTGAGCTTTTCTAAACTATATTTCACATAGAAAATAAGAATTATTTTTGTTATTCCAAAACCTATATAAAAATTTTTGTGGTTTCTAAAATACTGGCTCAGATAAATTCACAAGTGGAAAATTTGCAGTACTTTCTAAGAAAACTCAGGTATTAGTGGGGAGGGCAAAGGTGGCAGACATTCATATTCTTATCAGAGAAGCATGTATGTAAAATGATAGGGCCTTTTTAATGAGCCACAAGGCTTTTGTTTTCAGAATAACTAGTATTGAGATTGTCTTCAAATAACTAAACAAAGCTGTGTTACTAGTATTAATTTTTTGTAAGTACAAAAATTTTTTGAAAGAGATTCCCTGGTGGTCCAGTGGGTAGGACTTAGTACTTTCCCTGCAGTGGCCTGGGTTTAATCACTGGAGGAAATTATGATCTCTAACTGTGCGGCTTGGCGCTTTCAAAATATTTTTTGTCTAAAGATATTAAGAAATCTGTCTCATGAAATCTAATTTTTAAGATATCCCTAGTTTTTAAAGAAGTGGGATTCCTTTATGGAAAAAAATTATTTGAAAGAAAGACATTCCTGCATCATCCTCATTTTGCTAATTTGAACATTTTACCTGTATGTTGCTTTCTTACATGGCTGCCTATTATTGCTGTTAGCTAGAAGTAGGATTTTACAGAGCATATTCCATAACAAAGCAGATGTTTTGAAATATTTCGATAGCCATGCCATCGGTATAGTTTCAAAATGCTACTATAATCATTCACCTAAGGCTAAAAGGAGTCAAAAAACGTTTCTTGATTGAAGTATATTACTACCCTTAAACTTTTGTGGGATAACCATTTAAAATTTATTGTAATTAATGATTTAGAGTAATTAAATGGCAGATTAGAAGTTTAAAATGATTGAAATATTTGTGGTAATGAGTGTGGAGAACATTCTTAGTGGTGAAATTGAAGGTTATAAATAGTCTTTATTTGAAATGATTACTTGTAAATATTATATTTTTAATGAGTAGAAATTAATTTAGTGCTTAAACCCTTGTATATTTTGCAATTTTGTTTATATATATATATATATATATTTTTTTTTTTTTTTTTTAGTGTTTGCCAGCTCTGAGCCGGTGCCAGGATTCCAAGGGGATACCCTGCAACTTGCATTTATTGACCTCAGACA